GAGTTTTTCAAGTAAGATTTGTGATTTTAATGTTATGCTGTAGTATAGTTTAAGTTATGCCTTGTTATTATATTGATTCCAAAATGCCTAATATGTCTAGAAAATTTTATTTATTTGTGTTAATATATATATTATTGTTTAACTAAGAAAGTTAAAGCAGCCACACATTTTTTTTGTTATTTCAGCGTCTCTCCAGATCCACGTGAGAGGCACACTATATGGAGCCTTGGCATTGGTGGTATCTTCACATACTGTTCTTTGTATGGTGTTAACCAGGCTCAGGTCCAAAGGCTCCTCACCATTAAGTAGGTTCTTTGGATGGTGTTTTAGAATTTTAGGTTTATTCTCTGGCTTTTTTTTTTTTTTTATCTTTGTCATCTATTTTTATTTCAATCAGTCCATTAATTCAACTTTATGAATAGTATTAGTCTTGTATTAATATTTTTTAATGTTTGCCACCTATCAATATGTGATTTATATTTCTTTATATAACTGAAATTATTCTCTCTCGACATTCACAAAATATATTAGAGAAATAATTTCTTGCACTCTTGCAACAGAGACCTTCGAAGAGCACAGGGATCATTGTGGATCCAGTGGCCAATATTAACTCTCCTCAGCTTGTCCACATCCTTTGCTGGTCTGGTGCTTTATGCCCAGTATTACCTTTGTGACCCTATGAAGAGTGGACGCATATCAAACTCAGACCAAGTACATATCTTTCTTTCTATGTATATCTGTATGTATTTAGATGAAGATGATATATGTATATTTTTTGTACTTAATAGTTTTGATGATAAAAAATCAGAATATACATTTATTGATTTTAAGAATTTTCTGAACATTTGATACTTGAAGACAACAAAGAAATTTATTAATATATATATATTCTTTATCTTCCAGTTGCTGCCTCTCTATGTAGTTGAGACTATGGGGATGATCCCAGGACTGTCAGGACTCTTTGTCTCAGGAATTTTCAGCGGATCATTGTCAACTGTTTCTTCAGCTTTGAATTCTTTAGCAGCTGTTACAGTGCAAGACTACATCCTGGTAGGTGCAGATCATTTGTGACTATTGTTATGAGGAAATTATGGAACTGCATGTTTAAAATTAGATATAATGTAAAGTAATGATTTTAATTGTATGTTAAGAACACTCATGCATGGGCATAGGTTCCTATAAAAGGAGAATATACAAAATAGAGAAAGATTATTGTAGTTTAGCTATCTGGGTACATTAGATGTAAGCTCTGAAATCATTATGTTGGATCACTCTTTAGCTTATAAAATGTGCATATATTTTGAGAACTATGATTTGATAATACTTATAGTATTCAGCTATCAAAGAGTATATTTTTAACTTTTTTGCAATGTGTAATTCATTAATGGTAATTCTTGTTTAGTTTTCCTAACTCTTTCTTTTCTCTTCTACAGCCATTTGCCCCAAAAAGTCTTGGCATTGGAGAAAAACAAGCCACAAAGATCAGTAAAATTCTGGCCTGTGTTTATGGTGGTGTGTGTATGACCATAGCTTTTTCAGCAAAATTACTGGGCACAGGTGTCCTCCAGGCTTCCCTGACTATCTTTGGTGCAGTTGGGGGACCTCTGCTCTCCCTTTTCACTTTGGGGATGTTGTGTAAATGTGCAAATCAGAAGGTATTTTTTTCTCTTTAATATTGAATTCATTCATTTTGACATATAGAAGTGATGAATATAGGTCAGTAATTTGATATTTACTGCTATGCATATGAGTAGGATTTGCAGTGATTTTCAAGAGTATGATAAATAAAGATTTATGTACTACCATCAGTTTATAGTTATTTACATGCAGTACTAAGACTATTTATCCTTCAGGGTGCAATGTCAGGTCTGCTTATTGGTCTCGTGTTTACACTATGGATTGGCTTTGGAAGGCCAAAACCCCCACCCCCAAGTCTCCGTGGAGGTTCTGTAGACAACACGACTCTTATCACAAGTAGAAGCCTTGGTGAAGGGGTTTCTTTGGGGAATATCACCATGACTGAAATGATGGTTGATGTGGCAAATATGACACAAGGTGCTGATAATGCTGAAGTTGTGGAGAGGTAAGCTACATTGTAAAGATGGCAGTGATGATATCTTTGAAAAGTGTTTTCTGCCTATGGAAAATTTTGCTGTTATTATTATTATTGTTATTGTTGAAATATTATAGTTATTGTTATTGTTGTTGTTATTATTATTATTATTATTATTATTATTATCATTATCATTATTATTATTATTATTATTATTATTATTATTATTATTATTATTATTATTATTATTATTATTATTATTATTATATTATTATTATTATTATTATTATTATTATTATTATTATTATTATCATTATTATTATTATTATTATTATTATTATTATTATTATTATTATTATTATTATTATTATTGTTATTATTATTATTATTATTATTATTATTATTATTATTATCATTAGTAGCATTTGTATTCTTATTATTATTAGCATCATTATTATTGTTATTATTATCATTATTGTTATGATAAATATGATGGATTATTATTGTTACTCATTGCTGTTGTTATTGGCAGTTATCATTATTGTTGATTTTTATTATTATTGTTGCTACAATTTTTTCAGCGTTATTTGTTATCAGTTTTTCCATTATCATCACAGTCTTCAAACTCACACTGTGATCATCTTATCATAGTTATTCACACTAGTGTTGCTGGAAGTGCTTTACCATTGCTCTTATCATTCTTTCTTCATATGTTCTCTAGGTCTATTTCATTTTTCTTTCTTTCACAGCACCTCTTTCCTCCATGAGATCTATGCAGTGTCATACATGTGGATAGCAGCTATAGGCTTCCTGATAACATTGCTAGTGGGTGTGATAGTGAGCAGGCTTACAGGAGGAAATGAGATTCTGGACCACGACCTTTTCGCGACTTGGGTACGCCTGCCTCCCCCTTCAGCTGCACTCAATGAAAATGTGTGCTCGGACAAGGTAGGAGGAAGAGTAAATTTGTGGGTTTAAGGTGTATGGTAGTGTGGAGATGTGTTCAGTGAATTTATTTTTTACCAAATTTTAAAAGTTTGGAGTAAATTGGAAGTAATTACCTGCTCAAAAAAGGAAGAGAGAGTATGAGACTTCATTAGTTGAAAAGGTAGGCTAGAGTTGTAGAGAATATATACTTGGAGGAGGTGAGAGAAAGAATTTTAAACTGGTTGAATGGGCTTGGTTTTGATGAGGATATTGGTATTTATATTTATCTGTAACTTGCAATGGCAAATATAAGATCTAAGAAGTGAGGTGAAAAGAGCTTTTAGAATTTATGTTAGTACTGGTTTAGCTTCATTATATGTACTGAAGATTGAAGGAAGACAAATTTTGTGTATATCTTTTTAGGGTAAAAGACCTTGTAGTTTTGTTGTTGGCCTTGCTTTCTTGTTATCCCTTGTTTTACCTTATAATCTATCTCAAAAGTTAGTTGACAGAACATATTTTCTCCCTTTTCATACAGTACCTTGATACAATTTGAAAAAAATGCTCACTTAATCAATATTGTTGTTTTGTATTATATGTTTATTTTTATGTAGTCACATATAATACATGCCAGACTGTATGAGTAATATGTTTTAATGCTTTTGCAGGTTGACCTACCTGATAATGCTGAGGTTCCACAAGTGTCTTCTTCAACAAAGCTCACACCTGAAAGCACAAAGTTATAGTCTCATATATCTTCTTGTTGATTTTTCCTTAGTTTTGGTTATGTATGAGGTATGGGATTTGATAACATTGGTTTTGTATTTTGAATTTGTATATTATGTGATAGGTTTTATTTTTTCTAAGATTTTTAGTTAAATATACATTACAGTTATGTATTAGTTACATATCAAAGGTGCAATACTAAAAGAAACAGAATATAAAGAAGTGAATAGAAGTGAAGACGACTCTCTTACAGATGGTCTAGATGTATGAAAACTTAAAAGTGCACTAATATTTTATCATAGTACATTCATTCATATTGTTATAGTGTGGGCTGATTACTGTCTACAATAGTACAAATTTGGTCTCATTCATTGCTTTAATGATTTTTGAGAGTTTGTAGCCAGTCATTGTGTTTATAATTTGCTTGCTCTGTTATGGAAATAATTTTCATACTGTTGTATAGAAAGTGAGAAGAAAGACAACAAATTAATAGTCAGATGCATGCAATGAAAAAAATGCTTTTGTGTTACTAAATTATGTGATGTTGCTTTATCTAATTTATAGTGATATTTTGATAATAGATACATTTAAGAGTACATCACACTACAGCCATTTAAGGTACCTGGTCATGGAGATCCCAGAGACTTATATTCATTGACATCTTGCACTCAATGTTGAATGTACTATCAAAATATGCATGAAGGTTGCCCATTTCAGAGATTGTCAGTGAGCAGTATTTGAGTGTATTGAGTGGTTACCAGTATTTTAGAGATATTTAACAGTAAAATGTGAACTGAAGATATCAATTTATACAAAATGTGAAGAAAAGTGTGCTCAAAATAATTCTGTGATCCAGTGGTATCTCTTAGAAGTGCAGAAGTGAAGTACCTATTTTGCCTTTCATGAAAGCCAGCATCATCCACTTTCATTCCTGTAATATTACTTTTGAAATATTCAAAATATATCCATGATCTGTATTTTCAACTCTTTGACTATTGAAATCATAGTCTTCATTACCATATTCACCATCCATCCAAGATTTGCTTTTCCAATGCCTTGAAAAGTCTTCCATATTAATCTAAGGTATGATTAGTCTCCAGGAGTTTCCCATATTTCATGGTGAAATATTTGACTGCTCATATCTGTTGTGCAGTTGAATTTAAGCACTGCTTAATTGTGTTTGTGTTTCATCATTCTTAGATTGTTTGTTTAGAGGAGTTTATATATAGAAATGTTGTTAGTTCATGTTGTAAGCTTGGTAAGTCTGTAATCATTTTCAAATAGCTGGAGAATA